TTTTTTTTTTTTTTTTTGTGGAACTGGGCATTGAACTCAGGTCCTTGGGCTTGCCAGGCAAGTGCTTATTCCATTGAGCCATCTCCCCGGCCCTAGGACGGTGGCTTCTTCAGTAACTTAGAAAAAGGATCTTCTGTCTATCCTTCAGCAACTTAGCCTTCTCTCTCTTTTTCTTGACAATTATTCTGCAGCAAGGTTATAAGGGTAGACTTAACAACAGATGGTTCAGTACATGTGCTTTGGCTAGGTCTCATCTGAACTCTTTCTCCCCGGGGGCCCCAGCTCTCTGTGCATCCCTGGAAATGCCCTTTTAAGCACATCTCCCTCAGAAGGTTGTGCTCAAAGTTTTCTATACCCTGCTCCAAACACCCCTTCCAGGGCCATCTTCTGCTGCAGGCTTTTATATAAATAATGAATGATCTGGCCTGCTCTATTCGGTATTTCCGAAGCTTATCTTACATTTTGAGGGATTCAGGCTCACCCTCATACCATTCTTTCCTATTATTCAATTCCTCTTAGTTCTTAGGCAATGCCATAGATTTGAAATATTTTATTGATTTTCTCTATCCATACTGATCAAATGATTACACTCAATGAAAAGTTGGAATGTTTGAATTTGTCAGGAGGTTGTAAGTTCTGTAAAGCCAGGCATCATCCCTGTTCAACCTCATGCTCAGGTTATTAATTGCACCTTGATATGATGGTTGCCTGGAATACACTTCAATATCATTGCAGCCTACTTTCTCAGCCTACAGTCACACTATTTTCTAGTACAGTATCAGTTCCCTGCTTTATATGAACTATGCACGAATTCCTCCAAATGTCATTTCAATCCGTGATTCTATATTTCACTTTCTTATTACAGTTTTCAGGATAAGAATCAAATTCTTTACTTTGACTTCACAATGGAGTTTTCCTGCCCCTCGAGGTCTAGGCCTGTCGGTATCTGTGGCTATCCATCCATCAGCTCTTTTATAGTCTGCATGCCAATTCAGACAATCACTGAATTTCCTCTCAGACGTCTTATCTTTTCTATTCTTATCTTTCCATATGCTTCTGCCTGTTTCTGGAATTTTGTTCTTTTATGTTCTCACTACCTAGTGCTTACCCTTTGGAGCCCAGCACAGGTGTCAGGGCCTCTGTAGAGTCCCCCGGAAGCAGCGGTGACTACCTTTGTTCAACCTTCATGCTAATCACTGTGACGTATAAAGGTGTTTCCTCTTTGTGCTCCACCCACAGAATGAAGTTACTTACAGTCACCAGAGATGGTGTGTGAGTTTTAAAGACTCAATCATTCTGAAATGTAAGGCTTTTCAGAATTACTGGAGGGGCTTATAAAATTCAGGTTGCGTGATTCCTCAGAGGTGCTGAGTTGAGATGCTGGGGGCAGGGTCTGCGAAGCTGCACCTTACGTAGGTTTCTAGGTGGTGCTGACACTGCTGTAGCAAGGACCACATACGACAACCAGTGTCTGAAATAATCATTTGTTTATGGTACATTTCTGAATGTAATAGGAATTGATATAAGCTTTTAATAATAAAAGTTACATGTCTGGTAGCTTATATAAGTGAAAAAGTTTGAATTCAGTTGTAATAATCTCATTGTCATTACAGGCATATGTACAACAATGGAGGTTTACTATACAAAAACAGTTTATTATGTATCCTTGTGGGCAAAATAAAGCTCTTGCTCTTAAAACAGTATGGACATCAAATGAACCCAAGGAATCTCAAGCTATAGATAATAGGCCGAACCCCAGACCAGCCCACTCAGAGTCTGGATAGGAATCCACAGAACATGGTGTTTTAAAAAAAAGTCCAGGCAATGTTTTTGTAAAAGTTGTTTTAGTCTAACCTTGGTGAACCTAGGCAAACTGAAATCATCTGTGCTTTACTCACATTGGTGTTTTTCGCTATCTATCCTACCAAATGAGTTTGAATCCGTCTTTTAGTTAAGCAAGGCATGCAAAATGGAAAGACAAAAAGCACTTCAGTGTTGTCTATATTACTTCCAGGCATCTCTGGGAAGCCCAGGAAAGAGGGTTCTGGTTTTAAACATCACTGAAAGGAGGTGTGGCTGCAGGCACTATTTACAGTACCTCTATAATTCTTCTTGAAATACTTTTCAAATGCTCATTATGTTTCCTTAAACCCTTGCAATAAAATGGAGCAGAGCCCTGCAGGTAAGTTACACCGTGAGCATCTCTTGGAGGGCGAGATCATGCTGGTGGCTGTGATTGGACAGTTGCCACCTCCTGCCTCTCCAGACTTTGCTTTGACTTGACTATCCCTAGTGTGACCGTAGACTTCAGATTGGCTGAGATTAGATCTGTCAGTTACAGGAAAACTGAGCCTTTTCTAGCTTCAACCAAAATGATAAGGCTAAGATCCCAGGAGAAAGATTCACAAAAATAAATAAAGCTTTTCAAGTAATTTAATTCATTTTCTTATCTAATTCAAACAAGAATGGAGAGAAACAAATAGATTTTAAAATCCAGTTTCAGTCTACTCAACCATCATTATCACTCAGCAAACATTTCTGAGCAAAAACCAGGCCAAAGTGCTAAGATATGGTGGAGGGAAAATTTATACATTAGAAGAGAAAAAGAAGCTGCTGCCGTTCTCAGATCTATTGGAGAGAAAGTGTCTTTGTTTAAATATGAGATGAGGTTTTGGTTGTTATTTGTGTTGAAGCTTGTCTTATGAAAAATGAGTATTTACCATGTTGACAATAAAGAAAGATTTGAGTTTGCTATTGTGAGTGCCTTTCAAGACACTATTTGTGAGGGCCTGCCAAATAGCTCAGCAGATTAAAGCGCCTGTAAGCAGTCACAGGGGCCGGGAGTTGGATTCTTGGGCCTGCGGTGCTGGCCTTGCCCCTGGGGCATGCTGAAACAGGGATTGAGACTGGGCATGGTGGCGTGCATCTGTAATCCCAGTGGTTGGGAGGCTATAAACAGGAGAATCACTGAGTCCCATCTAGTAATGAGACCCTGAAAACCCTGTAGACCCTTCCCTAGAATACAGAAAAAAGAGGACACTATCTGCATAAAGCAGGTAACAAAACAAAGGGAGATCTCCCAAGAGTTGCCCTCTCAGTGAACTATTTCAATCTCAGGCAGTGTCCACTGAAAATGAAGGCAACCTCTGTGACTCTTGGCAACCAGGCCTCTGAACCAGGTTAGTGCGTTGGTTGGATGAATTGCAAGGCCATGGGATTCAAGCATGGAGAACACTGCAGATGCAGTGTAGAAAGCTGTATTCCTTGCAGCGTGGAGGAAATGATGCTCAACCACGGTCATTGACTGGTCCAACCAGACATGAAATTAATGGCACAGGTGTCATTGAGATTAAAGCATCCTGTCAACTAGGAAATCAACACTGTCTTAAAAACTCTTCAGTGATCTAAATTGTCTTCATGTCTTATGATTCAGTGGGAAAGGGTCCCCAGGGCACAGGTCCTCACAGTTCTGCAGTCTCCTTCCAGAGCTCTGCCTGCCCACTGTCAGTGAGGGTTAACCTGCCCGTCAGGCTTTGCTCAGTCCTACTTCCTGTTCCCGTGAGGGTTGGCCCAACACTCACCTCCAGAGCAGTCATGTTGTTCTGGTTGGTGGCAGATAAGCGGTTTGCTTCTCTGATTTTATCCGTGGCATCTCTCAGCAGGTCCCACGCGGCATCAAGTGTGTCGTTGTAGTCAGCCAGCCTCTCTCGCAGGTCCTTCTCCATTGCCTCATTCTTGCGCCTGGACTCACCAAAGAGCTTGTTCACCTTCATCAGCAGCCCCTCCGAAGCTCTGCAAGCCCCAGCCCGAGCAGAGACAGTGTCACACCCTGTGCTACTGGTGGTCAGCTCTGCTGCAGAGCGATGCTAAGAGCCATGAGCTTGGAACAGCAAAACGGAGCAGGCAAAGCACCTGCATTCTGCAGTAGACCTGGCTGAAAACCGGCTCTGGAGAGTAGCAGATTGTTCTTATCTTTTTTTTTAGAAATAACATTTTATTTTATTTTTTATTTGTGTGTGTGTGTGTGTGTGTGTGTGTGTGTGTGTGTGTGTCCAGCTCAGCCCACCAGGGGGCGGGCCTGGCTGGCATGTGGTGCTGGGGGATTGAACCGTGGTCTCTTTGCTTTGCTAAGCTTGTTCTAAGTAGGTGCTTTAGACCACTGAGCCATCTCACCAGCCCCTGTTCTTATCTTAAATGAATGCAAGGTTCCATATCTTTTAAAATTGCTATAACACTGTTAATCAAAAAGCATCCATGTCATTTTTCTAAAGTGATAGATAAAAGGAGCTGTATGATTCACTTCACATTATAAAACAAGACAAAAGTCCAGCCACCTATTCTGCCAAAACCAGATATTTTCTCCATGACTTTGAATGTTAAGAGGGGAATGTTGACACATTTGCTTAGAAACTAGGCACAAGGCTCTAGAGTTTTCCTTGTTAGGCTAATCTCTCTCTGTCTCTGTCTGTCTGTCTGTCTGTCTGTCTGTCTGTCTGTCTGTCTGTCTGTCTGTCTCTCTCTCTCTCGCTCCCTCCCTCCCTCCTTTTCCAATTGAGTGATCTGAGAGTTCAGTGAGTATAATTTTCTTTCTTCTATCTTTCTTTCTTTCTTTCTTTCTTTCTTTCTTTCTTTCTTTCTTTCTTTCTTTCTTTCTTTCTTCTTCTTTCTTTCTTTCTTTCTTTCTTTCTTTCTTTCTTTCTTTCTTTCTTTCTTCTGTCTTTCTATGTCTTTCTCTTTCTCTCTTTCTTCTGTCTTTCTTCCTTCCTTCCTTTCTTTCTTTCTTTCTTTCTTTCTTTCTTTCTTTCTTTCTTTCTTTCTTTCTTTCTTTCATGGTCCTGGGAACTAAACTCAGGACCCTGCGCTTGCCAGGCAGGCACTTGTGCCCCAGAGGTATATCCCCACCTGTACTTTAACGTTTTTATATTTCCTAAAAGAATAATGTATAGGATGGCCTGCTGAAGTAAAAACTTCACTTATTCAAAAGCGCTCTTACTAAATCAGAAATCTACTGTTAGTTTAAAAGTCCTTGACACAAGTAATTAATATAGCAAGCCCATTGAGGTAATTATATAAGAGAAATCACAAAAAGATCATTTAATTGATTATTTTATATAGGTAAAACCATACCTTTAATTCACTTTAGAGCAAGGTAAGCTATAAATAATAAGCAAATAAATATAAATAAATAGTGATCATTTCCATATCAGAAAAGCAAAGTTTCTTCTGATTATGAGTGCAATGAGAATTTAGAACACGGTAACTAAATTCATCAAATGAAAACTCCTACAGGATCTACTCACACCAGCTCATCTTCTGCAACTTCCTTTTGTGCCTCTAGATTCTTCCGTCTCAGTTCACTCATCATCTGATCAATCTCTTTCTGAAGCTCTTGCAAATTTCTGTCAAAGTCTTTGTCTTGAGTTTCCAGAGTTTCATTAAGTTTTATAGCTTTTTCATTTACACCTGCAAGGGGTAAAACAAATGTTTGTAAATGAGTAAACAAACAGGTCACAAGCAAAAATGGCACTCAATGTCTGCTCTCCACTGCCATCCCTGAAAGAAATGCCATTTTCCAGGGCTGCTGGGCAGTAGGGAGCTGTTATTAGGACAGTCAGCACCCCCCTGGCCACTTCAGACTTCCTGTGGGGGGCAATTAAAGCTGAGTGTTTTTAACCTAGAGAGGATGCAAAAGAATCAAGCCAACCCCTCTCTAGACCCATAAGAGTGAGCCCAAGTTCTGCCCTGTGGAAGAGAAGAACATTTAGCCAGCTTTTCTTAAGAGAATAAAATAGGGAGGAAAAAAAAAAAAAAAAAAAAAAAAAAAGAAATGATACCGAATTTCTCCAAACAAAATGACAGGAATTCAACAATGGTTGTTATATTGCATATTGTTGTCTTAAAATTAGATAAGGTTATCGGAAATAATAATGCAAAATTGCTCAAAAATTGGTAAAAATAAAAAGAAAGAAAAAACTTAAGCATTAACAATTTCTTTCAAAAGACCAGGAGAGAGCCAGTTTTAAACTATGGAGTCGCCACAGGCCACCAGCAACACGGCCTCTGAACATGACCCTGCCCATGCATTTCCCCAGAGCGTGATTGTATTTATTTTTTTAAGAAGTGAGGAAAGGAGAGCCAGTCCAGTGACAAGAGTTATAGGTGAGGCCTCAAAGATCCCTTCCAGCAGTAACAGCCATCCTGGGAGCCGATGTTTATTATGCATTAAATGGGGTTTCAAGCTGTGCTCTTTGGAATATTAGGATTCTCCAGGTACTTCAGGTATTCTACAAATCATGTCTGCCCCACCAAGAGTCTGTTTTATAGGTTGGTGTTCAGGGCAAGATTTCATTTGGAAAAATAATGCTATGTCAAATAAAAGTTTAAAAAATTGGTGACTTGGAACATTTGCACAGTTGTTACCATTAGTTTTAGATGAAAGTTTCCAGAAATATGTTCTATGGAGCATTAATTTGGTGAGTTGAAAGGAAATATTTTCTCAAAATCTCTTGTCTGCTGAATACTCATTTCTCTAATATTACCTGCAAAAAGCCCCAGAATGAGCGCTCTGGCTTGGCCAAGAGCTATTTCCTACCATTTAAAGGTGCATCTAAGGCTTGAGGACATAATAAATCTTGAACATTCAGTGCAAATCAGAAGTATCTCTCTAGAAATGAACACTCAAGACTGATTTTGTTCTAAGTCTTTGGACACCGCTGTCATTGGTAGGAACTGTCATTCAACCGACCTGAGCACTGGGCAAGAGTGGGAGGGGAAGTGGTTAGTTAACAGAGATTCCGAGTACAGTCCATCAACAGAATCATTGTGAAACTTGTTAGAAATGCAGGTTCCCAGGCCTTGCCACAGACCTACTGAGTCAAAAATTCTAGATGTAGGGGACCAGCAAGTTGGCATCGTAAACAATTCCCCCAGGAAGATCTGACACACGTTGACATGTGAGGAATCCTAGGCTCATAGAGGAATTGACTCTCAATCTCTAATCTACCCTTTCCAAAACATACCTTTATAATCCTCTTCTCCTTTTAAATGTCTTTGGGAAGAATTTTGTTTTTTTGAGGGGAACTTTATGCCAGAGAGCATTACTATAGATTAAGTATTGATAATCACCCCAAATTCTTATGCTGAAACCTAGTTTCTAATGGGATAGTATCAAGAGGTGGGGCCTTTGAAGGGTGATTATATTAGGAGGGCGGGAAGGAGACCTACCCTAGGAGGAGATGCACAGAGCACCCTTGGCCTTTCTACCACATGAGCAAAGGGACAGTCATTTGGCACCAGGAGACAGCTCCTCCTCAGAACCCAGCTATGTGGGTCCTCTAACCCTGAATTCCCAACTTCACAAAGGGCAAGAAACAGATTTCTGTTGTTTATAAACCAATAAGTTTATCCTATTTGGCCATAGTATCCCAAACATACTTAAACAGACACAGTTCAATTTAAAAAAAAAATCTGAATCACGTTTTGAAAAACAAATATGGCCATGTCCTAGCTCTGTGCTAGAATTTTCACTCAGCTGCTCCATTTCTGGAAGTTAGTGATGGTGACGGTTTCCTGGTTTGCTCCTTAGGAGTTATGGTTTGTCATATACCCCAGGACCTGCCACCACTGTTACAGGCTGGGTGCCCCCCAGGACGTCTTGTCTGTGTTACAGCCACAGCCACTGTGGAAGAATCTGACTGCTCCCTGATTCAGGAGCCTGCTCAGGAGATGTGCCAGAATGCTGATGATTCGATTGAAGATGGTTTTTGCTTTTAAGATGCTAAAGAAAGTAGCATCCACAGCAGACTCGGCTGTATGCGTGATGCCACTTTGTCTGCACGCAGGACAGTTGGTACAGTTGATTTCAGCCAAATGTACCATGGAAGTGTGGATACCATTTGTGTTAACTTCTTAGAAAATGACAAAAAAAAAAACCAAGAAAATGACAGCAATAAATCCTACTTCTGTGCATGCCAACGCCACATTTTCCTTTATTAAATGAATGTATAAATAATAAAATATATTTTGATATAGCATTTTCTTTTGAAATTTAATCCCATTTAGGTTCATGACCCAAAAGGAGGAATCTTAGCTTTCATTTCACTGCTTTTTTTGTGGTCAAATCCCAACGCTAAATTTAGACAAAGAAGAATCGAGGAACACAGAGAGCAAAGGTAAAGATGGGCTGTTTCTCTTGGAATGCACATGCCATTTCTTTTAAGTTAAAACAATAATAAAGAATGCTACCAATTAACTGCTAGTTTTAAAAACCTGCTGAAGATTCTCAGGATCATGGCCTTACCCATTTTGTGCATATAAATGTATGGATTTGCCCCTGTCATGTTTCCTAGCTTTTCTCCTTGCCCTCTCTTAGTTGTCTAATCCTCAAGTTCTCACTTTCCTTTTGTGTTATGCCTATTTTTATTTCTTCCTTTGAGTTCTTACACTAGGGAGACTATTCACACACGTGGGTCCAGTTTATTTCACTTATGAGTATATCTTCAAGTGGCATCCACTTAAATATAAAGGTTTCAAGTTTATTATTCTTTATAGCTGAGTAATACTACATTGTATAAGAATACCACATCTTTTTCATCCATTCCTCAGATAATGGGCATCTTGCCATACATTTATATGCACAAGATGGGTAAGGCAATAATCCTGAGAAACATCAGCAGGTTTTTGAAACTAGCAGTTAATTGGTCGGATTCTCACCCTGACTAACTATATATGTTGATACTTGTGAACTAAGTAACTGCACTGAAGAAAGCAATGTGTAGTACTAGGGCCATGCTTGGAATGCCTGTCATTCTGGTCTTCTAAATACATGCTGCTTGTGATGACATGCCAATTACTGCCATACTGTCTCTCAAATAAATGTTTTAAAGAAGAAAAAAGGATGATAAATGAAAACAGACAAGAAAAAAAATGTCATAGGACTGTCCTGCTATAACACTGTGTATGGTTACATTTCTAAATGTCTATAAAAATATGTAACAGTTTATTCCCATTTTTAATATTTGTTCATTTTTAATCTTTTTTTCTTCATGTTCTATAGGGACTTAAAGTTTAACCTATCAATACTTGATGGAAAATACCTGTTCCCCGTTGTGTCTAAGATGTTTGATATTCAGACAGATAGAGAGGTTAAGCTCAGCAGCCTAGGTTGTAGGGTAATAATAATAAGCTTTTCTTCTGGAGGGTTAACAACCTAAATTTGCAGACCAAAAATTAGGGAAATAGAAGGGCTGCAAGGACAGCCAACATTTCGGCCCTAGCCTTTCAAGGTCAGTGAGGACTCAGGACATAGGAGAACCTGTACTGTAACACCATGTAACTCAGTTGTGTCCCAAATTTCCTGATTAAGGAGATTATGGGGCCACAGAGAAAATTGATCAGTGATGTAGAGTGTGCCTAAGGAGAGTCACCTGGAGAGAAAAATATTCTCTCAGGTTTTCACAGATAACAAATTGGTCAAGCAATGGCCGTGACTCATCCACATGACTGACACTGACAAAGGATCTACAACGTGCGGTACAGGGTTTTAAGATAAATCTTGATGGGATTTGACTGACCTTGTCAGATACACAAGTTACATTTCTTGTTATGTAGGTCTTGCTTTATTTTGGTCTTAACCATCCAGCAGAAAAGTACAGAAATGAGGTATAAAAAGTAGAGCCATATTAATACACTGAGCTGTAAAAGGCTCATGTCAACAACTTCTGACATTGCCAGTCCTACTGATGACCCACTACCGTTATGGACTACTGGGCTATATTGGAATATTTTGCTGAATTCATGTACCTACAATATTTATATGACAATGGAATACCCTTCCCTGGCAAAACTAAACAAGAAAAAGGGGAAACGAAAGACCATTTTGTATCTGTATATTCAAAATAGTTAGGATAGATATACAGCTACTTTCTCTTAATTCAATGAATAGAAAGATTTGTTCTAATAGTGTTTGTGAACAAGATATCATGTCTGCATTTTGTATTATGAATAACCACTAAAAAGACAACAATGTGCAATGTATTAATTATTGAAACTGTCCTACTAATCGGTTTTGGAACTGTCTCATTGCTGTTTGTTTCTCAATAAAATTATTTTTAAAAAAAAGAAGAAGAAGAAGGGGCTGGGGAAATAGCTCAATAGAATAAGTTCTTGCCTGGCAAGTGCAAGGGCCTGAGTTCAATCCCTGGTTCTGGAAAAAAAAAAGAGCAAAGTAAAAGATAATGAAAAAAAAAATGAAGCAAATGATAGGATACACATATAATACTCTGAGGGCCAGTCAAATAGCTCAGTGGATTAAAGCACCTGCAAGCATGTGTAGGGGCTGGGGGTTCGATCCCCAGGTCTGTCATGTCCCCTCCCTGGGGGTGGGCACACTGAGACATCAATTGAGACTGGGTGGTGGTGCACACCTGTAATCCCAGCTCTTGGGAAGCTCTAAACAGGCGCATCACTGCATGTCCTATCTAGTAGTAAGGCCCTGAACACCCTGTAGACCCTTCCCTAAAATACAAACCAACATAAAAACCAAATAACACTAGCAAAATGATGATATGGTAAGAAACCAAGCATCCTCTTAGCAGAAGTTTCATTGCCTCACTGAATGCACAATAATGGGACTGAAACTTGTTCAAATAAATACATTGTCACTTCAATATGTTGTCTAGAGTATTAAAAATAATTATAAAGTAAATAAATACTTTGAATTTGCTTACTTATTTCTAGCTTCTTTTTTAAAACAATTATTTATTTATTATTTATGTATTTGGTACAAGTTCTCACTGTGCAGCTCAGACTTAGTGATCTTCCTGCCTCAGCCTCTCCGGCACTGGGATGACAGATGTGCGCCACTCTACCTGGTTTTGGTGGCCAGCACGGCACACCTGGTTTCTGGGGCCTGGAGGGCACCTGGAACCAGGGATCGCACCAGGGTCCTTGTGCTTGCCCGGCAGGTGCTTAGACTGCCGGGCTATCTCCCAGCTTAGTTCTAACTTCTTGTATGGATGTATTAAGCCAATTTAAAATATCTCTAAAAGCAGGATGAAGCAAGAGCAAGACAAATAAAATAATTTACATGAGTCAAAGAAAGTCTGACCACCCCCAGGGGCGCAGCACGAGGGTCTCCAGCCCACTCGGAGTGTCTGCAGCCTGGCACAGCAGAGCCGAGCAGGGCATTTGTGCAAGGCATGCAGCAGCCACAAAATACAAAAGTACTAGTTCCTCAGAAGTTGCAAAAAATTTTATGTTAATCCCACGAATGAACATTCTCCGATAGGTAATTTTATCAAGAAAGTAAACTGCTAGTCTGACCTGAGACAGGAAGAAAGATGTCTAGCATTAATTAAGTCTTATTATATGTCAAGACATAGACACTAATGGGGTTTGTCTCTGTCCGCTCCTTAATACTAATAATGCATAGAGTAAAATGCAACACATTCATCAGTTAAACAAGAGTCATAGCAGAGTAGATATTATAAAATTATAGTGAGTTAAGAATACCTTAGATGAATGGAACTTGATTTTCTATCAAGGGGTCATGACTACTAATGGAAGATAGGATGGGTAGTCTATCTATCTCAACCTAAAACTCTAATAGTCAAATATCCAGCTGAAGTGTTCATTGTTCCACAGCAATTTTTTTATCACTAATAATATATAAAGGTATACAAGAGGAGAAAGAGAGAGAGAGAGAGAGAGAGAGAGAGAGAGAGAGAGA